GAAACTGATCAGTTCCTTTTGAGGAGGTCAATGCTGCCCCCAACCATGGACGGATATGTTGACATCGACCAGATTGTGGAGCACAAGTTGGTGCCTGTACGAGAGCCTGTTGGTAGGGGAAGACCGCCGAAACCGCAGATGCAGTTCCAGGTCAGATTCAGGCACCATACAGATCCAAAGGAAGACCAATGGTTCACAAAGAGGAGCTGATGAAGACCGCACCAGTCGTTACACAGTACAAAAGAATGATCAAGGGGAAAGAGCAAGTGAGCTGAAGGCTATCTCAGAGGCTTTCAAAGTTGAGGGGGAGGGAGTGCGAAACATGGGACCCTCAGCCAGATGGAAATTGGGCCCTGTACCCGCAGCAAAGGGCCTGCACCCGGTTGTAACTGCCCGCGCCTGCCGTAAGTGAAGGCGAGCCCTGAAAACTGGAGGAGGCCAATGGGGGTAGGCTGAGCCTCGTGTGTTGGTTTCAGCACGCGGCATCGGCAACCGACCGGTAGTCCCGATCAGTTGTAGACGCTGGGGCCCAGAAAGATGCTGAGGCCCAGGGAACTTACAGTTGGGCCCTGGGCACAGTTTCTGGGACAGAGACCGAGCAGTCTGGAAGCTGCCTCACCCAGCCAGCATCTTCACAAAAGGAGGTGCTGCCAGGTACTCCTCATGGGGGATGAATGAGAGAGCGCCCACCCAGTGATGATGAGCGGGTCGGTCCAGCCGAAGTCTTCGTTCGTCATCAGGCAGCTGCATTTCATGAAGACCTGTTGACGTCATTAGAGGCTAGGCTAGTCTAGGAGCTGTCTGATGGCCGTGTCGGTGCCAAGCCCCACATAGGAGGGCGACATTGGAAACATTGATGGTGGAGGCGAGAAGAGGGCGTACATTGTCAATTTATTTCATTGCTTTGCTCTTATTTTGGTGTATATCTTGGTGCATTCTTCTTTCTGTTGGAGCATATGACTTACTGGCTTTCAATGGGATGATGCAATTTGGTTTCTGTACTTTGCATTGCTCATTCTCCTTGCATAGGCATCAGTTGTGTTGGCATTCCCATTCGGCAGTTCAGTGTTCGTTGGCCTGAGTTGCAACGCTTCACCGCCCCGCCGCCCAGACTTACAGTAGGCTCTCATAAACATAGGTTCGGGTGGCGGTTACTGTAAGATGCTTAGTGGTTTTGTTGAGAGATGAAGGTCTTCACCTGTCACATCTCTCCTTCAAGTACAGTGACATGCTCGTGATTGTGTCAAGTTGCCTTCTGTTTGGCCTGCATGCTGCTCCCTTTCTTCTAGCATGTTGAAGACCCTCTGCATGGTGTGTGGTTTGGATCCAGGGGGGCCCACTGGTGCTATGTTCATCCTAGAAATGCAGGAGTTCAGCCGTAATTGTATCCAGATCTGGGTGTTTGTAACCAAAACAAGTGGCCGCATGAACGTAGACCAGCCCCTCAGTGCACTGTGCACGTTGGTGTCCGCTGGTGCTATGTTCATCCAAGGAAAGCATGAATCTGGCCTTCATAGTGTCCAGATTGGGGTGTTTGTGACATGAACATAGCACCAGTGGGACCTGCCCCCTCAGTGCCCTCTGCACGTTGGTGTCACCCAACGATTGAAGATACTCAGTGCTATGTTCATCCAAGGAAAGCATGAACCTGGCCGTAATAGTGTCCGGACTGGGGTGTTTGGGATATGAACGTAACACCAGTGGGACTTGTCCCCTCAGTCCACTCTGCACTTTGGTGCCACCCAACGATTGAAGATATTCAGTTAATGGAGGACGTGCTTATGTGTGCTGTGCGGGTTTGCTGTGTTGCTTGTAATTGACTGTGCTGTGTGTTATGTGGTGTACAGATGTTGATAGCTGGCAAGTTGGCCATCACAACCGTCTTCACCCGAGCAGAACGCCCGGTCACTGCCGCTCTATCTATATTTGCGCCAAATGCAGTTGTAATGACCGGGCATTGGTGTCATTGGTGTGAGGAGGCAGTTGCTGCCTGCTCTTCAATATTGGTCGGTTGTGTTGTACACCATACCCCATGTTCTGCTAACGTGTGCTCTTATATTCCGTGGAGTGCAGTTGCATGACTTCCAGTGGGCTTATGTATTTGGCCTTGAAACATCCACATTCAAAGAATTCTTTGATTTCATGGCTTTGGGGTACACCAGTGTCTTTCAGTACTGGGATTGTTTCCACTAGCGCTCATTTTTTCCTCCTGTGGGGTGTGTAATGATGTGTGTGATTGGATGTTTCTTGCAGACGGACCCATTCAATCGATCACTGTTAACACCTGACATGCTTATTCCAAACACCGAGCTGAAGGCTAAGATTGAAGCTTTCAGAGAAGCACAGAGGCGAAAGGCTCATTCATGACCTATTTGGTGAACGGACAACTGTACCCAGAAATTGGCGGATTTCCTTCTTTTGCTGCGTTCCGCTTTCCTTCTCCCAATTAAGACTCTCTAGATAACAGGTGTTGATTGCCAAAGGGAAGGGGTCAATTTCAATTTCTCAATTGTGAATTAAGTGCTGGCTTCCTTTCTTGTTTCGTTTGCCTTGTTTTTTGCTTTCCTTTTGTGTTCTCCCCACGCTCTGTTGTAACGTGTTTATTGCATGTTCTCCCCTCGTGCTTCATTTCTATGGTCGTTTTGTTGCCATCCCTTTGCTTCCATCCCCTCTGTTCATCCCTGTCCTTGTTCAAATTGAAGGCAGACTCTTTTCTCAAGGCTCCTTCAGTGTAGGTGGTTGCCAGTTTTCCTTCAGTTCCACTTGCAGGTGTCCTTCCTCGTGCTGTATGATAAATGGCTAGGTCATGAATCTAAGTGAGATTGATTTGATGATTATTTGTGAATTTAATACAAGAGAAAAAGTGATCGGATCGAGGTTTGTAATGGCAAAGAGAATAAACACCTTGGCATCGCATTGGGTGAAATATACTGTTTGTATGTTTCGAGGAGATTAGCATGTGGCTGGAGTTGAATTCCGCATGCGAAGTCGACAAGCAGGTTCCTCCTTGGTGGTCGGAATCATCGCTCCGTCAAGGTGGGGCGGGGAGTGAGGGAAGGGGGG